TATATATATATATATATATACGTACTGCTAACTAGAGGTGGCAAATTTAGCCCATAAACTATGATCCGCATAATCGATTGAAATGACTCATCCATTTATTAGGTCAATTCATATTAGTCCAATCCATTGATGTTTATCTAAAAGTTGGACGGATATATGTTAGTAGTCCAAAGATAAAGAATAATTTTATCATTTACTTAAAAATATATAAAAGAAAAAACCAAAAAAAAAGAGTTATTAATAATTGAACGGGTTGATTTTTGGCCCATTGTAGCCCATTTTGGCTCAATTCATTTCAATCCAATCCAAGTAATTTTGGGTGCCCATTTCGATTTGCCCAACCGGTCCAAATCCAACTCAATTCGCTCATTTGACACTCTTACTTCTAACACTAAGATTTTGCTCAAAAGGAGTACTCATTAGACCATAGTCTAAAAAGTCTATAAATAAGTTATAAGAAAAAAATACAACGTACCAACAATAAATTTTGAACCTAATAAACTATGTGGTAGATTTTCTAATTCATAAAGTTCAAATTGTGAATTCGCCTGTTCTACACAGGTGAATAATAAAGAAGAGGAGAAGGAAGAAGCAGAGCGTTTCAGAAAAGCGTTCAACGAAACGATGTATTATATAGCTATGGTCGGTATAGAGGATGCATTTCCAATTCCATTACTACAATGGCTTGATTTACAAGGTAATATTAAGGTGATGAAACGTATAGCTGATGAAATGGATGTTATTCTTCAACGTTGGCTTGATGATCATACTAATAAGAGGAAGAATAATGATTCTAATGATGATGATGATCAAGATTTGATTGATATAATGTTAACAGAGTTAGATAAGGATGATTTCCAATATGGTTATTCAAGGGAAACTATTATCAAAGCTACTATGTTGGTAAGTGTGTGCAACATCTTATATTTCGATTTTAGTGTTATATGTTGTTTTATTTTCTTACGTTATCATATTATCATATGTTATATGCGTTACATATTTGATACGTTTTTGCCCGAGCTAAGAGTCTATCAAAACAGTTTATCTACCTTCACAAGGTAGGAGTAAGGTTGCGTACACACCAGCTCCTCAAGCCCCACTTGACAATTACGATGAATATGTTATTGTTATACGATGTTGGTATGTGCTTCAACTATTGATCTGACTCTGTTAATTTGACTGCACACGAAATTTAAGAACTAAAGAAAGTTTTTTTTTTAAAAAAAAAAGTTAGCATATTAATTGATATGTGCACATGTGCATTTTTTATCCTTCAAGTTGTGAGTCTACACAAATTTAACGAATAATTAAGTGCTTAATCATTCAATTTGTATTGCTACTCCATTATTTAAGGTGATATAGTTTTAAAAATACTCTAATTATCACACACTTCCTTTACAAGGGATCAAAAACACTCATTTTAATCGAATTAAGGTGAAATATTCTTAACTAAATATTACAACAGGACCAAATCTAGAATATATCAATAATTAAGGAACCAAAATGCAATTATTATTTTATAACATTTTTGTTGTTATTTCTGGGACCCACGATTGATTTGATTTGATGGTTAATAATATTATTATATGCTCGTAATTTAAATTATGTACACTAACAATCACGATAGTTAATGGATTATTCTTTTTACACGCAGACTATAGTTTCAGATGCTACACATACCACAGCTGTTCACTTGATATGGATAATTGCCTGCTTACTAAACAATAAACATGTACTGAAAAAAGTACATGAAGAAATTGACACAAAAGTTGGCAAAAATCGTTGGGTCGAAGATTTAGACATCAAAAACTTAACGTATTTTCAAGCAACAATTAAAGAAGTACTACGTTTATATCCACCATCACCTATGTTAGTTCACGAAGCCTTAGCTGATTGTCAAGTACTTGGTTACCATATTTCAAAAGGCACACGTTTATTTGTAAACGTGTGGAAACTTCAAAAAGACTCGAAATTTTGGCCAGAACCTGAAAAGTTTTTACCCGAGAGGTTTTTAACCACTAAGGCAAAAGTTGATGTATATGGTAAAGATTTAGAGTTTATCCCATTTGGTTCTGGGAGACGATCATGTCCTGGAATTACTATGGCCATGCAAGTAACCTATCTTTCAATTGCGCGATTGCTTCAAGCGTTTGATTTTGAAACACCAAATAATGAGCCGGTGGATATGACCGAAGGACCGGGTTTTACCGCGGTTAAAAAAATTCCGTTGGAAGTTGTGGTAAAACCTCGTATGCTTCCTATGTATTATGGGGTTTAATTAATAATTTAAATACCTTAATTTGGTTTTTTTTTGTTTTATTATCAATAATAAAATGTATTGTTTGATCGATAAGATTTACCATATGTATCGTTGTATATTATAATTTGTATTTCCCTCATAGAGTACTTTTTTTAATAGAAAGTAATAATTGATTCATTCAAAAAAGAATAATATTAAATTTTTATTTTAAAAAATAATATTTTATAATTCAAATTAAACTTTGTGTTTTATATGTTAAAATGGGATTTTAGTAAATAGGACAGGTTACGTTATTTGTATGCAATCAAAATAAAAGAAAATTTATTTGTATTCATCACAAATTTCTTTTTCTTGAAAATATATACATAAGGTTCATATGAAGTAACATACATCAAGAAACTTTATCTCCAATAATAAATAAAAAAAGTCATTCAAACACTAAATAAATAAATCTCTGGTAATAATCAAAAAGTCTTTTCATACATCGAAGTCAACATTTACGTGTGCAATTTGAATTAATGTTTGGTTTTGAGTTTATTGTAACGGTTCAATTCGCTAGTAATATTGTCAGCTTTGAACTTAAGCTTGCACTGCTTTAAAATACGTCTCTAATAGATTAGGCATGTTTATTTATATACCAAACATCTCTTATGTGTTTTGTCAATGTGGAAATTCTTATCATAAGTTGAGATATTTTATTCTAATTAAGTATCAATTTAAGAACAATTAAGCTCTCAAGCATGTGGCCAAACTAAGAGCCCGTTTGGATTGACTTAAAAAAAGTAACTTTTTAAAGTGCTGGAACTTACTTTTAAAATAAGTAGTTATGTGTTTGGATAAAAGTGCTGCAGTTGAAAAAAAAGTTGTTGATGTGTTTGGCAAATAAGTGCTGGTAAACACTTTTTTTTATCAAAATGTCTGAAATACCCTTTAAGCTGTTAACATGATAAAAAGTTGATTAATTTAAGGTTTTTATACTTAAAAAAAAAAATTAAAACAAAATTAATTTATGTTTTACATCCATAAGTAATAATATTTTTCTATCATTCACATATTTCTTTACCACC